CGATCTTACGGTCAATTCTCCCTGAGGAAGGAGAGAGAGATGATGAAACCACAAACCCATTGAAAACGTACTGATTATTATTGCAGATACATTTTTAATATGTCGTTATCAAATACCTGCCTACTATGGATGGGAGCTTATGAAAATGAAGTACATTATTTCTGCAATTTTGTGCAATCCAAGATTTTAAATACCCAAGAAACCAATTCAATCGACAGACTGGATAGTTTGCTTTACTGAGCCAAAAACAAAATAAATATTGACAATATGACTAAATCCAGACACTCTTCCTCTAAAACTGTCCCTTAAAATGGTAAATGGTTACATTTTTATACAACGCTTTTCCACCTTCAAGACACTCAAAACGCTTTATAGCAAGGAACTACTCACCCATTCACACACATTCATACACCAGTGTACGCAGACGACCTTTGGATCAGTGGACAAACCAACTGAGCTATTGTCAACCTCAAAATGACTGCTCTTTAACTTCTTAAGAGTAAACAAGAGACCCTCAACACCCACCGGGCCTGATGAGAGCGGGGTCCAACGTCTCGATCCTGTTGGTTGCCATGATGACCTTCACGTCGCCTCGAGAGTCAAAGCCATCGAGCTGATTCAGCAGCTCCAGCATGGTCCTTTGGATTTCCCTCTCGCCACCAGAGTTAGAGTCATACCTGCACCAAAACACATAATTATAATTCTGCGCACTCATGCAAGTACAGTGATTAGTAACTAAGAAAAGTTTAAATGTGTGTCATATTAAGTGGAGAAACTACATTTTACCATTCTACTATATAAGATTAATTTCAGGCAGTAATGTGGAGTAGACCAAAAAGGTGGTCTAAAAATATTTTTATAGCATTTATATAAATTCTTCATAAAATTCATCTCATAATGAGAAAGTCTACTGGAAAGCAGTACCACTCCTGAATGAGGGGATAAACCGACCCTTTCATAGAAGGCCAATAACATCTCTGAAAAGAAACCTAAGGATATGAAAATGTAACTTTTTTTTTTTACTTACACATTTACTAACTCTTACTATATTAACAAATTATATCAAAAAGGCTTTGACCATAGGTACATTGATACAGTTACACTTGGAGCAAACTTTACTGACTTTAACAGACCAATGTAACCTGCTGCTATATTCAACCCTAAAGACTTAACACCTTCTTCCTCACTCCGTCTGATCAGGTCTGAGGTGCCATATTGGTCTCACAAGTCGGAGCTCTGAATAAACCTGCACAAACCTCTCGGTAGGCCTGTCACCATGACAAATTTAGACGTGTGTGTATACTGAAGAAAATATATAGGACAACAGTCTTGAAATCAAACATCCCTAAAGCAGGATTATCCTCCAAATCTATTCTTAATGCGCAATATAATAAAAAAAAACACAAGCTGCAATGATTAAATAGCAGAATTAAACACTTTAGTATGTATCTATGATGAATCAGTCATGCTAATGTATGTATAGAAGTTCTTTTGTTCAAGTCTCTACAGCTTAGATCTTATTGTAGGAAAATAACAAAATACAAAGTGTAAAGTACAAAGAAAAAGTAGCCACAATAAATACTGACACCCCAATACTATTGTCAGTCTGTTATTTATTGAACAATACATCAATACAGTAGCTCTTGTGACAATCCTACCTCTTGGTGCCAATGGCGTCAATCTCATCGATGAACACGATGGAGGGCGCGTGCTCCTCTGCCACCCTGAACAACTCACGCACGAGTTTGGGTCCATCTCCCAGGTACTTCTGAATGAGCTCAGAGCCGACCACACGCAGGAAGGTCGCCGATGTCTGATTGGCTACAGCCTTGGCCAAAAGTGTTTTACCTTAAGCAAAGTAGTAAGGAATCAAATGTTTGTGTAATCTCCCAGCTAGGCATGAGACAATATCAAAATTTTGTGTCACGATTATCACGATTATATGAAATGTCCCACTAAACAATTATTGTCTTCCCTTTTTATCATGATAAAATATTATTGTTTTTTCATATCATTCCATCCCTAGTCCAAGCTTAAATTTTCTTGTAATAATGAAGAATTTGATTCTACTACTACTCATAATAATAATACTACTGTTATGCCTTATATGGACCTGTTACAGATGATCACACTTTAAAGCATGATGCCCAAACTTCGCTTTGGCCCTTAAAAGTTGTGAAAAGCTTTATAAACGTATTGCAGTGAATAATTACGGTGCTTGAAATGTGTTAAGAAAGTGAGGTTAAAGTTTGAACCGCAAAGAAAAGTCTTAAGTTAACTACCACTGTTTTTCACATTTTTTAAGACTGTAAAATCAATCGGGCACAGCGCCTTTAAGAAAAGTTTAATAATTTAGCCTGACATTTAAGAATTTTATTACAGCTCCTAATGCATCCATTTATACCACCAAATGGAGTCCTGAGTCAACTCATCAAACCCACTATTGAGCTTTTCAAAAGCAACAGCAAATGTCACATTGCTCATAATTCACCAGAAAATGCATCAGGATGTAAGTAATAGTATAATATGTCTTCTGTTTAATAGCTGTAATAATATGTGCAGCTTAATACTTTTAACAAACTGATGTACTAAAGAATAAGTAAAGCTCACCAGTGCCGGGGGGTCCATACAGAATGACTCCTTTGGGAGGTTTGATGCCCATTTCTTCATAGTATTCTGGATGTGTGAGAGGCAGCTCCACTGACTCCTGTTAAATAAAGATACATAGTGAGAAACAAGGGGTATTCACAAGCTAGAGATGGGAAATATATGGAAAAAAGGTTACTGCAGTTGTTTGGGGAAAATCTGAAACAAAAAAATAAACTGATGAAATTTTCAAATAAGGATAAAGTGATATGTATTTTCAAATGCTCTGGTCAATAACACAGACCATTCATATTCATAATCAGGTTCATGCTAAACTTGCACTTCTATGATGACATTTACAGCACAGTATGAATAATATCACCGGGACAATCCTTGAAAATTTGCTTTAATCAATATGGCCAACCCCTATCGTAGTCCCAACAACTCATTGTGCCAAAAGCTTGAAAGTTATATTGGAGAGAATGAGATTTAAAATAAGACATCAGATACATTGTTGGTCTGCCTGAATGTTTAAAAAAAAAATCTCCAGTACAGTGTTCACATTTTATTATTTAAATTTTTTCAGGATTGTTAGAGGCTAAACTATGTCATACCTTGATCTCCTGGATCTGGTTGTCTAGTCCTCCAATGTCTGCGTAAGTTTCTTGTGGTGCTTTTTCTACTTTCATTACTGTCACTAAAGGATCTGTGTCATCCATGAGGACTCCAATAACAGCATGGACCTATAGAGGCAGAACAAAAATAGTATTATTCAGTAATTAACCAAGCAAAACATGATAAGCTTTGGGTCAGTTTGTTTGAGCATGTCACTTACTGCCTATTTTTATCAGTCATTCTTAACCAGTGTAGTCACTTTTTATATGTTTAGGATAATGCAATGGCTATATTGCACAATGACCAAATTGCTGATTTTTACTTATACAATTATACCATTGTACTGTTGATTCCACACAGCTAATAACTCTATAAGTTAGAGTTTCTGTACCTTGTGGTTGAGCAGCACAGAGCAGCCAGGCTCCAGCAGATCTTTGTCCACAAACGACAGTATACTGACGTAGTGCTCTGACCCCACGGAGGTGGAGACGATGGCGTGGTTATCATCAATGATCTCCTCCAGAGTGCCCACAGACATCGGGGTGCCTCTCAGGTCGTCCACTTTAGACCTCTCCTCCTGTCATAGCAATAAGGTTTAAATGTTATTCAACTGCTTTTGGCCGTTTGACCAATTTAAAAAGGTGCACTATGGAACTTTTATGGTTGAGAGTCTGCCACATTCCTGTCTTCAAAGAGATGTTATTTCTTTGCCTGAAATGTTCCACAGTGTCGCTTTAAAATGATCTAACTCCACCGAAATAAGCAAGTGATGCAACCAGAAATGTTACATAATGAACCTTTATCACTATGAACAAAGGTCTGACCTCCTGCTTCTCCTCCAGTGGCTTCATCTGCTCCTGGTTCCTGATGAACTCCTCCTCCATCAACAGATAGTCTTTGATCCGCTCCTGTTTCAGCAGCTTCAGGCGGCACTGAGTGTGAGGGGTGACTGCAGAGAGGAAATTATGAACACGTTACACAAATACGATTACTGATTTTGACTACCAACAAATGTGTACAGTTACAATGTACTACTGCAAGTGTTTGTGCCAGGTTTCTTACCTAGTGGTAGTTTGCTGGCAGCATCTGGTCCCTTGGTCTTCTTCTTTTTCTTTCCAACTCTGGTGGGAATTGGGGGTTCATACTTCTTTTTCTTATCCTATGTACAAAAAAATATATATACACATAAACATTTTGTTAATCAGTGGTTTTCAGATTCTAGATTATAACATTGCCATATTCCCAGATAGGGAGCAAGAGACACATTTCCCATTTGATTGCATTGTACTTTGCCATAAAATATTCAAAATATAAATGCAAAATGTTGGACTTGATCATTTTTATTATTGACTATATTTCACATTTCACTGTTTTAAAAACAAAAATCTGCATTTTAACAATATTCATATGCTCCCATCTGTATTAAATGATATTAGTCTGTAGAATGTTGATATGTCACCTGAAAACCAGCAATAATGAAATGAACACATACAGTGTTTTTAAAAACAACTGCATTGTTTCCTTTTGAGTGTAGTTAAAGCTACACACGCTGGTTTTGGAATAACAGATTTACTACAATTCACAAGCAGAAATGTCAAAACTGATGTAGCATCTTTACTGTCGCTGTGTCATCCTCACCTTGTCATCCTTTTTTCCTCCTCCCGGTCCGTGTCCTCCGCTCTGACTTTGTCCCTGTGTAAAAACAACATTTGACTATAAACGACCAAAACTCTACAGACTTTAATGCCTAAAGTTAATATAATCGGGATATTTCACACAGCTGCAGCCTTGTTTACGTGGAGGCTACATGACTTAGCAGTTAGCTTTACATATTTAACGTGACAATTCTATCAACAATGCCGATCATTATATTTCTCAGAACAAAAGAACAATGTGCAGATAGATTACGCTAAACACGATAAAGAGAAGTTAGAAAAATAAAATCTGTAATGAAGAGCAGAGTAGCCCCACAGTTAGCCGCAAGCAGCTCAATCATTCTGCATTTTTAATTATTCAACCATCTGATTAAATTGACTTTAAGTTAATCACTTTGGATTAACATTTTAATACCATTTCAAAGAGTAATTTATGTCTATTTGGATAGATTATATGGCTTGAATTCAAAGTAAAATCGCCGCAAAGAAAACTGCTTGCTCACTTACCATTGTTGCTTGTCGCTTGGATATGACGTCAGAGCATTACGCATTTTTCTATGCGACAAAATAATAGAAACGTTAAAGCGCCCTCTAGGGGTGACAAGAGTGTGGTGATACTGTATTGTTTCACTAAATACATCTAAAATGTCATTATTATAGGTGACATTTTGAGGACTTTTCACAATTTTTTATCATTCTGAAACCAACCTTTTGATTTAGGCAAGACAAGGCAAGTTTATTTGTATAGCACAATTCATACACAAAGTAATTCAAAGTGCTTTACAGAATAACAAATACATAAAAGTCAATATACAAACAAATCAAAATATAAATAATCACCATAGAATTAAAAAGAAAGAGAGACATTAAATTACAGAGAAGAGTGTGGAATGAAAAATGAAAATCTTTCAGTCATATGCACGGCTAAACAGAACTGTTTTGAGTCTGGATTTAAACAGAGCAAAGTAGAGGCTTGTCTCACATGTTCAGGAAACGTTGACTCCCTGTGTTTAGCTCTGAGTCTGGGCACCAGCAGGAGGCTGATCTAGTAACCAAAATAAATAGGAGCCTAGTAATCAAAGCATTATAGGTTATTTTTAAACCAGCAATTAAAGCCAAATGATTATACTGTTATATGTGAGTAGACAGATATTGGTGATTTTCAGATTCTAGAATGTGTTGATGTCATATTCTCAGATGGGGAGCAAGTTTTCCCTTTTCACACTGTATTTTGCCATAACATATCCCAGGGGTCTCCAACCTGTAGGGATTTCTGAATCATAAGTATTGTGGTAAATAACTAACATTTGATTTAATTAAATGCCTATTACCATTGTAACTGTGATGACTATCTTTGTGCAATGGGTAATAGTAATAGTGTAAATGTTTTATAGCCATGAAACTGTACCCCATCTAACATTATATTTACTCAATTTCTTGCGACCTCTAAAATGCGTAGCTCTCTGGCCTGCCTTTTTGTTTTGAAAAGGTAGCTCACCAGAGGAAAAAGATGGGAGACCCCTGACATATCCAAAAGGCAAATTCAGAAATGTTTGACTTGATCATTTCTATTGGTGACTAGACCCAAGAAATCACTGAATTACAATAAAAATCAGCATTTTAAAATGATAAATTTTGTCTGCTGCCATCAGTATTAAATTACATAGGAATATAGAATGTTGTGATGTCATATGAAACCCAGGAATACACACATACTGTACTTTAAGGCCAAGGTTATACCTATAAAATGCTTTGAATTAACAGAATCAAGTAAATGAACAATGTAGAAGAACAATATCCTTGTTTATTTCTGCATATCCTTAGCAACACAGTATTTAGTATCCTTTTGTAACCTGGCCTGTCCTAATTAGACGTAGGCCTGTACCTTCAGCATTAATGGCCTCCCTTCATTCTCCTGCATGCCTCGTCTCTGAGTGTCACGCGGACCTTGTCAAACCAAATTAATTAGTCTAATGGTCGCTCATGTGACAGATCAATAATTACGTACAAACCAGTTCAACAGTTTGTATCCATTCTAATCATGACATTAAAGTAATTAGCGGAGGCCTGCTGGGCTCACAAATCCACCTATAGCTTGATATTTAGATGCATTATAGACATAGGCCCATCAAGATATACTCTGATTTGAATAAATACTAAGAAAGAAGATAATAGTCAGTTTATAAAAGAGGTTTCCAAGTTCAAAAAGTTCAGACTTAATTAATTATAATGACTGTTCCATCTCTTAAGATTATGTACCATTATATTTTGACTGTGGACTCTTGATAATTGGAGTTACCTGGCAAGTGAATGAAGTAAATTTTTTTCAGATTGTTATAAAAATAAGAGAGGCTCAAATTCCCTTTAGGCTATAGTTAACAAAGCATATGTTTCAACCACTTGAAAAAGTATGTACATTTTGTCAAACAACTAAAGATAGAAAATTTCCTAAAACTTTTTCAAAAATAGCATCCTCATTAAGTCCATTCAGATACCTGTCTTCTTTGCACTGACACATTTCTGTTTTCTGCTTCTTTTTTCTTTTTGAATCAGTGTGCTCCTAACAAAAATAATAGGTGCTGGCTTTGTAACAGCACAACACATCACTTGGCTATTCAAAATTCACAAAACACCTCTATTACTACTGATTTAAAATTGTTTGGCCATATTATGATAATTCTCTGGTACATGGCATTTTATCCTCTTTTTACCATAATACCATAACCCAAGCCATGCTGAATAAAGTACAATGTGTTTACCTTTTGTTCTACCTAGACTAGAATGATGAAGACTCATTGTGCTTTCTGCATTAACACAAATTTCCATAGCTCTTCAGGGCCCTCTAGCTTATCATTTCTGTGGAGACGTCAGTGCTTTGTCTGGAAAGTTCCACAGCATAGAATTACGCTTATAATTCCATGGTAATAAGATGAAAACATCCCCAGGCCAAGTTATAGGTCAGATCTCTGGAGAGGAAAGCCCATTAACAGTAAGAATACACAGCTTTCAAGTACTTCTTCTGAGCTTTTAAAAATACTGCAGGTTAGATAAGCTTAATACCATGTGGAATATTTTTGGCAAATCAATAACAGCTCCATCGTGACAGACCTTCCTGCCAGACGTTACACAGTGTGTCTTTAATTTGTGCAGGCAGTAACACTGGCAAAGCGACTCATCTCCGAAGTACAGTTGTCTCCATAGCAAAGAGTGGAGGCCGCTGCTCGGTACAGTTATTTTTAGAGTTCGTATAATTCACTTGGAGATGATGAAAAGGTTTTGATTGTGCAATATCGTGATTGCAGTCGCTGATGTTTGTGGTAAGGCAAAAAGGGAAGTGTTGTCTTTAATGAGGAATACAGTCTGTGACTTTCCGTGCAGTGTTCAGGCATAAAAAGCAGTTTCATCTTGGTTTAACTGTATCTTAGGCCTGGAGTAGTCCTGGTTTAGTCCTGGTTTAGTTCTGGTTTAGCTCTTATGAAGCATGCAATTACATCAACAGTCCTGCACACTTTGGAGTCTGCGTTAATAAAAATTAGTGCTGTCATGTGATTTAAAAAATTTAAAAATTAATTAATTATGATCTGTAATTAATTAATCTAATTAATCTCTTTTTAATCTCACCTAAAAATTGCTGAGAAAAGCCTTCAATTTGAGGTATTTTTATTTAAATTCATTATTACATTATAGTGGCAGATCAAAAGACTCATATAGAACAAAAAAAAAGTGACTTTATAAAGTCATTTATTGTTTAACAAACTTTAATAGATGCAGTCACTTACATTTCACAGTATCTAATCTGCAGTGTTGGGAAGGTGACTTTTAAAATGTATTCCCCCACAGATTACAGATTGCATATCTCAAAATGTAGTTTGTAACTTAATCCATTTAATTACTTAAAGTGAGTAACGTAATTTGAATACTTTGGATTACTTGATATTGTTGTGCTTTTTAAAACTACATGAATGTAGCAACCGCATCATGCAAATGTTGTTCTTGTTTGTTCTCTTCAAATTGGCTGTTGAGCCCAAGTCTCCATGAATAAGAAACTGTTTGCTGTAAAGTAGCAAAGACGAGGAAATCTGAACATAATAACTTTTGTCGACTTAAAGACAATAAAAAGTCCAGTCTTTCCTTAACCATATTAAAAATATTATTGATAGAGAAATGCTTTATATATGAGATCACTGGTTTTAGTCCTGGTTTAGACCTGCTTTAGTCCTACTTTAGTCCTAGTTTAGTCCTGGAATGGGTTAGTCCTGGTTTTAGTCCTGGTGTTAGTCCTGGTTTAGTCCTGCTATAGACCTGGTTTAGACCTGGCTTTAGTTCTGGTTTTAGTTCTGGTTTAGTCCTGGTTTAGTCCTGGTTTAGACCTGGTTTTAGTTCTGGTTTTAGTTCTGGTTTAGTCCTGGTTTAGACCTGGTTTAGACCTGCTTTTAGTTCTGGTTTTAGTTCTGGTTTAGTCCTGGTTTAGTCCTGGTTTAGGACCTGGTTTAGACCTGGTTTTAGTTCTGGGTTTTAGTTCTGGTTTAGACCTGGTTTAGACCTGGTTTTAGTTCTGGTTTTAGTTCTGGTTTAGTCCTGGTTTAGTCCTGGTTTAGACCTGGTTTAGACCTGGTTTAGACCTGGTTTTAGTTCTGGTTTAGACCTGGTTTTAGTTCTGGTTTAGACCTGGTTTAGTCCTGGACTGGGTTAGTCCTGGTTTTAGTCTTGGTGTTAGTTCTGGTTTAGAGGCGCACAGGAGGAAGCGCGGTTTACGCAGCGTACGCGAGAAAACAGGTCCACACGCGGCGCACGGGAGGACAGCGGCGTCCGCGCAGTAACTACGGAAGTAAACGTGATCCGCGCGTTCTCAGGTTAATGACGATGATGAAGGTGTGTGTGTGTGTGTTTGTGTGTGTGTGTGTGTGTGTGTGTGTTTGTGTGTGTGTGTGTTTGTGTGTGTGTTTGTGTGTGTTTGTGTTGTGTGTGTGTGTTTGTGTGTGTTTGTGTGTGTGTGTGTGTGTGTTTGTGTTGTGTGTGTGTGTGTGTGTTTGTGTGTGTGTGTGTGTGTGTGTTTGTGTTGTGTGTGTGTGTGTGTGTGTGTGTGTGTGTGTGTTGTGTGTGTGTGTGTGTGTGTGTGTGTGTGTGTGTTTGTGTGTGTGTGTGTGTGTGTGTTTGTGTGTGTGTGTGTGTGTGTGTGTGTGTGTGTGTGTGTGTGTGTGTGTGTAGGACAGTAGTGCAGACATCATGAGTCTATGCAGGTTGTTTTCACCAGTGACATTTAAGTTGTAGGCGATTTTATATTTGTTATTTTCTTTTATATTTCACGTCGGGAGGATAATTTCCAAAACACGAATGCGTTTTTCCCTGTGCACTGCTGACTCTGTTCTACTGGCTCTTCGACCTCGTCCATTGTGCGACTGACGCCGCCAACGTGAACATGACGTTTACATCGCTCTTACTGTGTGCGTTTTGAGTGGAATTACCGAAATAAAAAAAATATATAAATGTGTATTCAACACATAAAAACAGATTTTATAATAAAGCAACTCGCATACAGA